CTAACTTTAAATCTGTAACATACATATCAAATTCTCAAAATATCATATAACTTTATCCCTTTCAGGTAGTTGTGCACATATTAATGTGTATTAACTATTAATTATAGATTATGGCCCTGCTTCGGAACTAATGTATCTTTCTTGTTCATAAGTTGGTAGTATTCTCTTGTACTATGTTAAACGAAATTGAATCCTTATCCTGAAATTTTAAGTTATTAAGAGATACAAAATAATTTGTGTAAGCAGCCTAACAAGAGGCAATGGAATGAATTTACATTTGAAACTGAAGTGTAAAAGAAAGCTTGAAGTATATTGGTTACTTTGTCCTACAAGGCTACAACTAGTAACTACAAGATGCATCAAACGTTAGCAAACATGATGAATTTTAACAAGTGCTTTGGAATGTTTGCAGTGCTTTGGATGGAGTAGTCAACTTCTGGCAAGTTCAGTCCAAGGGGTAATGTCCAAATCTCATCATTTTAAATTATTATTTCTTAACTTCATAATTGTGTTCTCGGTAGCAACATAAAGTAAATCAAAATGAACATAAGGTCATATAGTCGAGCTTTCTCCTATTTTTTGTATATATTAGGAAAAGCATGTATCCGAGCATAGTTATATGATTGCATGCCTTTGATAGAGATGTATTCTGACTGTTGGTGGACTGTATGTCCTAAATTGACTAAGGAGGTGCAGTATCTCTTTGTTTCAAAAACCGGTGGGGGTATTTATGTGGCTACTATTCCTTGATCTGTTTTGAAAGGCAAAACTGTGATTATATCTTCGTGCCATGACCTCAGGATTTGTAAATTCTTGCAGTTTCAATTTTCCATCTCAGGTCTTAAGCAGTGCTCTCAAATTTCCAGGCATGCACTTCTACTTTGCACAACTGAGTAGGCATCCCTTTTGTTTCTTTTAATTGCAGGTCTAGTGCTTCTCGGCTTAGTTCTACTGATTGTGTATCCCCAAACAGGAGATGGCCAGAAGATATTGCCTGGCATCCTGATGGAAACAGACTATTTTCTGTGTATAGTGCTGATGGTGGTGACTCGCAAGTATCGGTTCTAGATCTAAATATAACACAAGGGGTAAGGGCTACGTTTAAAATTAATTGTTGCAATTGCGTGTGGGGTACACTGAGGTTTGAGCAGCATGCCCTCTGCCCATGAGTTCCAAATTTAGAGAATTGACATGCTGATTCTTCGCATTTTGTGCATTTACAGAAAGGTCGTGTTACTTTCTTTGAAGATAAGCCTCATGTGAGAGGGATCATTAACAACATAGTTTTTCCCCCTTGGGAGGATACCTGTTTTGTCACTGGTGGTAGTGATCATGCTGTTATAATCTGGAAAGAGACGGATGCGGAGAATGTATGGAAACCAAAGACATTGCATAGGAATATGCATTCATCTGCTGTTATGGGAGTAGCCGGGATGTTCCAAAAGCAGATGATACTATCAGCTGGAGCAGACAAGAGAATTGTTGGGTTTGACGCTAACACGGGAAGAGCAGAGTTTAAGCATCAGATAGAAAGTAAATGCATGAGTGTCTTGCCAAATCCTTGCGACTTTAATCTCTTCATGGTTCAATCAGGGTGAGAAACACTGATTTTTCATCCAGAATATTCATATCATCAATACGTGTGCTGTCTTGATATTCGCCTTGTCAGTGCTCCTAGAACCGAATCCCGTTTTGTTCACTTTATGCATTTGTATGCTGCCTCATATTATTTGTGAAGACGCCTCATGGTTTTTGACGTGTATTTATATTATTAACCATCAGCAGTCTTTTGGAAGAGCCGTTGCCTTGCTATACTTTATTATTAATCATATATTTGATTAACTTAATACATGTATACATTTTGGACGAAGGCTTTTCTTCAGTTACAGTTTCTATGTATATTTATATGAACTTTTTTTAATGTTAACCTGTTTATAACACGCAGGACGCATGAGAAGCAGCTCCGACTATTTGATATCAGACTGAGGCAAACAGAAATCCATGCTTTTGGGTGGAAGCAAGAGAGCAGTGAATCTCAGTCAGCTCTGATCAATCAGGCCTGGTCTCCCGACGGCTTATACATCTCATCTGGTACCGCAGATCCATTGATCCACATATTCGATATCAGATACAATGCCAACAAGCCTTCTCAGTCTATAAGTGCTCATCAGAAACGGGTTTTCAAAGCTGTATGGCTCCACTCATGCCCCCTTCTCATTTCCATATCTTCTGATTTGAACATTGGTCTACACAAAACCACGTAGACGGTACAACGTTCCAGCTAGCTGATACTACTGGCCCGGAAAAGATCTGTTACTTGTTTTCAAGAGTAACGACATTACGTAGGGCATTTTTGTAAGAATCGAGTGTAGACATGCTGTCGAGATGGCGGAGAATTGTAAGTAGTTTTTTCGACGGGACGTTGCTGCTAAGTGAATTTTGATTTGTGAGTGTGTTAGATGCAAATTTCTTTGAGGAAATGGAAGATATGATACTTGTGGATTTAAGTACGCAGTGGCCGCCTTCATTTTTGATGTGCTTCTGTTGAAATCATCTGTAACCATCATCTCTTACACGACATGTCGTTCATTTACAACATTGGGTCCATGGACCGGATGATGGATATTCCGGCAGTCCAAAGTCTGCATTATTTGAAATGTTGTGGTACTTAAGCACTTTTTAACCTCTCTCACGTTTTTATTGATTTTTGTTCATTGATTTTTTTTTAATTTATTCGATCCAACGGCTGAAAATTTAGAAGATATCAGATGTAAAGATGGGTGTGTGGATAACATTACCCTATTTGAAATGGGTCCTCAGTTAAGATTTTAGAAACACTTCTCATTATTCGAGCAGGTTGCCACTTCCTATCGCTTGTATTAAAAAAGCGTACGGGAAGATAATTTAAGCATGAGTGCAAGAGATCAACATTGCTCTAACCAACTTGGCTATTCTTGTTATGTATGAAAACAAGTATTGCCAATTCCTAGTAAAATTTTCTCATAACTCAATTATCAAAATTTTTAAGTATTTATTAATTTTATTTGTGAATGTAGCATTTTTTATGACGCTTACTCATATCATTGTTTTATTTAACAAGAAGTCACGGTGGTGGTTAACCCGTTTTATGTAGGTTATATTCATTTCTAGTGACAAAAATTAGTTTTGGTGGAAAGCGCATAGTGACACGTACCATAGGGGTTTCAATGCCTTCTCCCACACGCAAATTGTGCGACTCCTAAAAATTTCTAACTCTCCTGAGACGCTTCGAGTCTCCTCTCCTTTGTATTGGTAAGTCCCAATTTCTTAATTTTTCTGAGGTATTTTTTGTACGATTTTTGCATTTCTCTTATTTCTTTTCAGTATTTAAAGAATAATATTTGACTGCTCCTACTCAATACTTTTCAAATCAGAGTTTTGCTTATGATCAAAACAATTTATATTATGAATCACTATGCAATTATCATCTCTGCAAAAATAAATTAAAATAAAGGCCGTGTGGTCAATTTATTATATCAAATATATAGACGGTTCGTAATACTTTTATCAATTCATTTTTTATACAAATCATCTCTAGAGTGATTTATAATATGAACAATTCCAATAATAAACACGAGGTTTTATGAATTGGCACAAACAATTTTGAGCAGGAACTCCTGCTCATCTTTGAGTAGAAACTCCTACACATCTTTGAGTACGAACAGTTTTAAATGCTCGTCCAACTGGTTTCTTTTGGTTCTTTTTCTTTTCCATTATATTTTGGCCTTTTTAGTGGCTTTTGAGCTGAATTGGTGAATTCCTCTGTCGAATTGCGTTAATTGGAAAAATTAAGTTTTGGGTTGATGTTGTTCTGAGCTGTGATCTACATTGATACATTTGCTGAAATGGGTTTTTCAAGTAGTACCTTGTAAGTTTTTAATTTGTTTTATTTACTTTTTCAAAATTTTATAGAAAAAAGGAAATGTAGGTCAAGAAATTGGGTTGGAGATATTTCACATCATGGTTTTGGTGAAGTTAGGTGACTGGTTGTAGGGAAGATGTAAGCAAAATTTTCTTGCAGTGCAATTTAGAGTGAAACGTGACACTTAATAGTACTCAGATGTAGATATTTGAGACCCCAATTGGCATGGTTTACTTCTGAGATGTGACAGCCCGCGGATCACGATCTGATTTACACGAGATGATGCAGTGAATGGTTGGAAGTATTTTAGGGAGCTGTAAAAATGTTGCTAGGTTTGTAGGATTTTGCAATGAGTTTTGCTAATTTAGTTTCGCGTTTTTTACATCTGTTTCTTGTTCTAGTTGTGAAGTCGTTAATGGAAAATTGTTTTGTCTGGCATTGCCGATATGGTGGCGTGCTACTTTCGTATTAGTCTTCAACATGATCAAGGGAAGAAATGACGGGCTTGAAAACAAGGGGCCGGCTGTAAACTACATGAATGCCAACTATTACCAGGCTCCTGCTCCTTTGAACTATGCGTACGACCATCTTGCTGCTTCTGCTTGTGCTACCGAGGATCATGGGGTGCGTAAGGACCATCTGGGTCTGGAAGACTTTTCTGGCTATATATTTATGTGTGAAGGAAGAACAAAACCGGAATGCTACCTGTACCGTGTTTTTGAACTTCCTGCTGGAAGAAGGGAAGTTATAGTGATGATCAGGCCGGGCACAAAGCTGTTTCTATTTGATTATGATGTGAAGTTTCTTTGTGGGGTACATGTGTAAGATATATTCTGAAATCACAACAACAAGACATTAGGATCACGAATAAATCAAATCAATATAAAATAGAGATTAACTAATTATATTAAACTGGAAGACATTGCAGATTTATAGGTTGTCTTCTACTTCCAGTATTTTAATAATATTTCTCTGCTATATGAATAGGGTTCAGCGTATCTGAGAGATTAAGCGTGACTTAACCATAGTATTTATATCATCAGGGTTTAATCATAGCCAGCCTATTATTGGTTGTGAAAGTCAAACCCTATCACTTAAGGGGGCGTTTGTTTGCCCTCACTAAGTGGGACTGGACTAGACTGGATTAGATGTTAGTGTAATCCCATGTTTGTTAGAGGAAGGGACTAGCTTTAGTGGGATTAAACCTCACTCGCCTTGACTACGGGGCTCGCTAGATAGTCTTAGCGAAACCCCCCAAATACCACCGGATTGCTAAGACCATTCTTTTCTCTCGCGTTGCTCCACTCGATTCCTCGCTCTGCTCGACTCCTTATCCTGCTTGACAACCTTGCCGGACCATCTCAGGACCACCGCCGCGTCTTCGTAAATCACGGCTTCTTCTGCCACTTTCTCTTCTTAGTTTTCTTCAGTTTTGTTTTGAAGATTCGTTAAATTATTACTGGGTTTTGATAGATTTTTGTTTTTGATCGATTTGTGGGTTTGATTGATTTCTCAGATTTGATTGGTTTCTGGGTTTTGATTGCTACCCATTTGTTTTCAATTTATCTGCTATTTTTCCTTTTATGAATTGATTGATAAGTTTTTGAAAGTTGAAGTGATTTTTTTCCTCATTCCCTGTTTTCGTTTTGCTAGAAATTTGATGTTATCATATTTTGGTTTAATCTTTATCCAAAACTCCCCGATTTTCTTACAGTTCCACTACGAGATCTTGAGAAAGCCATGCCCATTGCAGCAAGTGTGCAGGGTCTGGGTGTTCATCTCAGAACTGCAAAAGCCACTAAATCTGCAGCTCTCTCTCAACTGGCAGACAAGGAAACAAATATGAGGACCACAAAAAGTCGCCATGAGGTATTGGAATCCTTGATTTTCAATTTGTCAATTGGGAAGGCCAAATGGCATTGGCTTTTGCAGTTTATTCTGGCGTATTATCTTGGTGTTATTGTGGTCATTTATGATGTTTTATTGACTGAAATTAATGGATGGGTTAATTGGTATCTTGTGGGATGCATTAGAACTGTTTTCAGCTGAAAATTTATGTCTGTTTTCAGTTGGGGAAGTTGAATCGAGTACTGTTTTTATGGTAATTTTTCACTAAATTTCAGCTTTTGGGTTGTTCTTGGTTGTGTTGTTTGTCGAGTACTGCTTTTCTGGTAATTTTTCTCTAATTTTCAGTTTTTGGGTTGTTCTTGGTTGTGTTGTTTGTGGTGGATTTGCTTCTGCACTGGATTTTTTTTTTCTGGTTTTCTGCATCTGGGTTCTCTGGCTAGGCATTTTCTTATGCCTGGTTCGTGCGAAAAATCGAAGCTTGAGCAATTTTATGTAGAACTTTGTTTGCTCAAACTGGGAGCTTGAGATCATAAGGTTTCGTTCAGATTTCGTTTCAAAAATGCTAAGTGGGGTAAGTGAAGAAATTGTTGGAGGAAACGAGAATTGTTGCTTTTGTTCCCTATTGTCTGTCAGTTGTTGAGAATAAGAGTATATCATGTCTAAATTGGAATGTTTGGTTTTGGTTTGCAGAGTTTGTTTTAGGACTGCGATTTAGCATCAAACATTTTTGTTCTTGATAATTAGATTCACTTGCGATGAGCCTGTGTTGTTGCGAGTTGTGTTTACGTATGCGATCTCTCGTGCTCTTTTTGTTATTCACTTTTTCATCCCCTTTTCATGTTGTATATTATTTGGCAGTGCACATTATATTATGAATGCCATTGATAATACTCAAAGCTATAGCTGAACTTTGGTTTTTGTTCATCACAATCTCATCACATTTTGTATGCGATTCATTTCTTTCAGTTTAGGAGTTACGAGCTAATTGCAGGGCATTGGAGGTTGAAGTGTGGTTGGTACAAATGATGTGTGGAAAATGGATTGGAGGCATGATTTTCCTCCTAGTTGGCATGTTCACCAATGTACTAGGTCTAGGTAACATAGTAACCTTGTTCTGTTTTCTGTTGATTCCAATTTTCTATTTTTGATAGTATAACTTCGAGCTCCATTCTGCCTAAAATTCTTGTCGTGAGGTCTTGGTTTTACCGATTTCTTCAATATTTCATTGCCTGCATCATTTTTATGTTACTACTTTTAAGCTCTGCGTCGTGTTTATGTTACTACTTTTAAGCTCGAAGTTATACAAATTTGTGGGAAAATGTGTGCTAGGCCCCTCGGCATGGAGACTGAGAGAACGATTGCAGAACAAATTCGAGGTATACTGAACCATACGCAGAAAAGCTTCTTCCAGATTTGCATCCCATGAAGAAACATGTTTTTTTCCCCTGTACTAGATTTCCAGGAGATATTACTGCACTCTTTTAGGATGCGAGAAAAGGGCTGGCAGACTATCAAAAAAGCTGGAGTTTATGCCTTTTTGGAACAACTTGCTCAGTTCTATGAAATCATTGTTTATTCAGACTACTCATATATGCATGTAGATCCTGTAATGCCTGTAATGGAGAGATTGGACACTAAGCATTGTGTAACATATAAGCTGGGAAAGGCTGCCACTATGTATCAGATTGCAGAAGAGACCTATACCACCCAGACTGCTGCATTGGAAACTGCTATGTCTACACCTGTCTTTGTTCAAGGATCTCTGAATTCTGTGTGCAATCGGTATCAACTGCTCATATGGGTGGTAGTGTATACTGCTAATGAGGATTTGGAGTCCATAACCGACACACAAACTGAATTACAGCTGATGGAGTTAGATGCTCACAATTTTGTCAAATTCAAAGTGCAGAACAGTCACTACCCCAATAGACCATTGCAGAAAGAAAGCAAGTTCTTTTTTTAACCTTGAGGACAAGGTTGTTCTTTAAGGGGGGAATAATGATATGATCTGTAATTAGTGATTAGTGATTAGCTTAATCACTATTAAGGGTTTTAATCTTGGGATTATTAGGCTTATTCTTGTTTTAGTGAAGTTTGTTATAATTAGCCAGCTGGCATGATGAGTTGACTTGAATAAGAGCACTAGCTCTCACTATTGTAATCAGATCAGAATTTACAAACACAAAAATATATTGGAGCTCTGCTCCCTTCTACTTCATCTTCTCCATTTGTCATTTCTATTGCTGCTTGCAAGTTGAATAGGGTCCTCATATTTGTGATCCTATCATCAAGAAGCTTTTGAGCATACAGAAAACACCCTTTTCTGATCCATAACCCAGATAACCTTTTTTACATTGTACTGGGCTTCCTAATTCAACAAGCTTCTAACTCTTTCTAATTTCTGCTTTGTTTTCTTAAAAGACCATTCAAGAGAAGTCCTTTTCTACGGCTGCATGATGCTGGGAAACTCTTTTGGCCAAGGCAATTGCAAATGAACGTCAAGCTTAGTTCATCAGTGTCAAAGGCCCTAAACTGCTCACCATGTGGTTTGGTGAGGGTGAAACCAATGTTCAAGAAATCTTATACAAGGCTCGTTCATCTTCTAAACTGCAAAATTGGTTCTATTTGCCTATCAATTTGAGTCGTTGAAAGTTTGATAATTTTCTAAGTTGCAAAGCACCTGCAATTCATGAAGAAGAGGGCTATGCCATTTTATTTTTCCATATATTCATTTTGATATTTTTAATAGAAAATAAATTAAAATATAGTAATAATAATAATAATAATAATAATAATAATTTATTGTTAGTCCAGCTTCTTAGTCCGACGCTGCATCAAACGCTTCACTAAGCTAGTCCAGTTTAGTCTAGTCTAAGACAGTCCAGCTTAGTCCCTGAAGCTAGTCCAGTCCGAGACAGTCCGGTACAACAAACGCACCCTGTGTTTAAGTCCCACCATTATACTATATCTTTGTAGTGAAATCCATCAGATTTCTTTAGGTCAATTGCAAAGGATAAGACTCCATAATCCTTATTTCATTAGGACTATCAGATTACTTAAGTTGTTAACAACTCAATAAACAAGTGGCCTGCAACATAATTCCAATACATCATTCATTGTCATTCACAACCTTACAATACGAAGCAACCACTGCTGGAAAGATGAACTTGGAAAGAACGGCTTTTGGTGGAAGCTTTCCTGCACAGGTGAGTTTAGTTTTCTTTTTCGTATCATCTCCTACTACAAAAGGGTCTTTGTTCAAGTTAAATGGGAAGAGAAAATAAGCTTTCGTGCCATGAAAATCTAGTGAGTATTTAATTTGACAATGGACATTGGACCAAACCGCCAGTATCACTATATGTTTAATGAGCTGTGTTTTACAGTTTGCCACGCCATATTGTTTAGTAAGAACTAATTAGTATTTACTTGAATTTTGTGTATAGGTAAGATTTAGAATTTACAAGGAATGTCTCCCCTTGCCAGAGAGTGATTTTAAACATGCTATTCTACATAGCTACCAGAAAGGCTCCAAGAAATTTAACCCCGTCCTCAATAGCCAACAAGTAAGTTTCTTTGGTCTCGGAATCAGTCCATTTCATCCTTATCGATTTGACTGCTGTTGCTTGATCAACTGTACTTATTTTCCCGTTGATTTATGGTGCAGGTAGGCCATTTAATATCACTTTTTTCATCCTCTTACCATACAATCACATATCAAATATGACAGTTACTATATAAAGGACCAATTTCATCCCTACCCAAGGCTGCCTGCTTCAGGTACTACAGACTTAAATTCGACGCATCTCAGTCAAGTCCCACAAGTGTTAGTGCCTCAGTATGTTCCACCAGCGGTCCTAGTTCAGCAGTGGGATGGTCGTGGATCCACAGGAAACACGGGTCTTTCCCGTCATGCAGAGCACCATGTGTTAAATGGAGGTTCACAATCAGCAATGTCAACTCAATCTACGGAGGAACAGTTTCAGTCCCGACTAAGCCTGCCTTCCATGAAGGATCCAAATGCAGCCTTGGTATACAGCGGTCTTACTTCACCACTCTTGGAGCCTCAGTATATTTCACTGAATGTCGTACAACAACAGCCTGTTAGCTATGGATACATATCATACATGGGCAACATTTATCCTGCTGTGCAACCGCAAGCTATGCCAGCTCCAAATCAGACATACTATTCTGCACAAGTTGTGCATAGTTACTCGGCTGAATTACCTGTCTCACAAGCACCTTACTTATCCTTAGGTAGATTCATTTTTTGGAAACTTGGAGTTTCCCTGCTCCACCAAGCAAATTGCATCGCTAAATGGAAATGCTAGCCAAAGAGTATTGTTTCGGAAGTTACAATACATGCGCTTAATCAGACCTCATAGCCCCTGTGACCTTCACTTCACAGCCTGATTAATGTGCCACGCGCACTTCCATGGTGCTTTGTCGAGCTAGAGTTTCTTTCTCAGGATGTGAATATTTACTAATGCAGGAAATATTTGGGTGACTTTCCTTGAGAGAAAAGAAAACAAATTACGCAATATGGGAACTGTTACATTTGATTTGTTAAGCGGAGAGTTTCATTGCAAATAATCATGCTTAAAAAGAGCATCCCGGATAATCATTCTCTTTTGAATTCTTAACTTTGTTGTTAGTTCTTAGATGCTATCCTGCAAGTGTGATGTCTACGTCTCTTTGTTTTGACTTGTCTTTGTTATCAAACTGAAAGTATCATGATCCTTGTGTTGCAGCTATCACCGTCATGAGGCCACGCAGAATGCAGTTCCTAATGATCAACATACGAGCTTGGGGCACGGGTACAATAAGTTACCTTCGCAGGCAGAGACTCGAATGCAGCAGGGGAATGCTACCGAATACTACAGTCTTCATCACCTATACAAACACACCTCAACAACATTGGAAGCACCTGGGCTTCCAGCAGGGACTCTTCATCACTGAATTCCTCCCCAACCCACTAACCTAGAGTCAACCGGTAAATTGGAGATCTCAAACAAGCTGGTAAATTGAGCATAGCATCGCCTGGTTGTTATTACTCCACCTATTTAGTTCAGGTTCTTGGTTTAGAACAATATTTCGTTAGTTATAAGTAGTTACTAGGAATGTTGCATTAGTATTGTGTAGCTGTGGAAATTTTCAGGTCGACGGGCCGAGGGCCCACTCTAATAACACCGATACTGTCTCCATTTAACCACCTGCACAATCCTCAGGTGTGGAGTTTTATCACAAAAAGCCTCGATGTTAGTTAGAGTGGGGTAATTCTATTTAAAGTACTCTTTCTCCTTCCCTCTGTTCGATTTGGGACAATTGGTTTCAACAGTAGCTCAGGTGGTAAACGCTACCAATGTAAAATGGGTAGGCAGCTCTGGCCTTGCAGGATGGCTGGTCTTTAATCTTGAAGATGCAAAAAAAAATACATTCAAACGAATGCTACGCGTTTAAGATGGAAAGTACAATGAGTAGATGTTTGTTCTTCTGGTAAATGCGTTAGTGCAGGATGATTTGTGGATCAGCTTTGAGTGATGCTGCAGAATTCATCTCGAAGTCGAATTCCCATTCTAGTACTCATTTTACTTGGCTAGCAGGTGGATCTCTCCTTCTGTTTTGAATTCGTTCAGTTGTTGATGAAAACAAAAGAGCGGATTTCGTTTGAGGTAAGAAAATATTTTCGATATTAGCATTATGTCGTATGATTTCGATTAGCATGAGGTGGTAAAGATGCAAGCATGGATCATTTGGAATTTGGGGAAATTGACCCTTGACCTTCACCTTCACCAATCCATTGTCTTGCCACTTTCCACACCCATCTTGTCATGGAGAAAAACTAGTGACCATGTCATCTGCATGACTTCTTGCACAGGTTCGGTGTATTTTGGTCTTACTTAATCTCACGTAATCTTATTTCATGTGAGAGATCATCTAATCAGGCGGCCTTACCGATATCTTCTATTTAGCGTGGGAGTTGTCGTAATCAGAATCTCTTTTGGACAAAGAAGTCTTGAGCTCATTGGGTCCTCAAGAAGGAATTGGGAAATGAGGTCGGAGTCGGACAGAGAAGTAGATCATCCACCATCCATCTAGTGGTTGACCTCAATGCATTAGGAATGTCATGCCACCAGATTCACCACTCTTATGCACTTCTTCGTGGAGTGCAAACTTTTTATCACTCTGATCACGTGATTTAGCATGTCGTGTTGAGATATTATTTGTTAAATTCTAACTAAAATTTCAGACTGAATGGGCCAAAAATACTTATGCCACGTCAATTATGCCATTTTTTTATTTTTGTTTGTTGTTTTGGGCAGTCACTTCGTGTCTTTAAGATGAGAAAATTATCTACAACAAGATTATATTGTGGTAATATTTTAAATAAATCATGTACGATTATTTGTCTTAACTTTCTCACATAACAATACGTAGTGGTGGAATGAGAAAATTATGCCATTTTTTTTAATTTTTGTTTGTTGTTTTGGGCAGTCGCTTTATGTTTTAAGATGTGAAAATTATCTACAAGAAGATTATATTGTGGTAATATTTTTTAAATAAGTCATGTACGATTATTTATCTTAACTTTCTTACATAACAACATGGAGTGGTGAAGTCAAAATTGTATAATAATGGGATCATAATATAAGCTTTGGAAGTTTGATCATGTTTTCATTATATTGTCAATAACGTGTTCTCATATTTTAGAGACGTCATATTACAAGAGAAAAAAAATACTAACATAGAGCAAAAAAGAAGACTGAGTTACACACACAACAAATAAGAACGGTGGAAATCTTGTCAAATATGGAGTGTGATTTTAACATGCCTTCTTAAAAGTGTAGCAAGTGGTTTGTTCTTTCTTAGTTCTTACTAGGTTCAAAAGGAAATTGAGTTCATGCTAAGATAAATTATAAGAATTTAGTTCTGGTATTGCATTTTATTGAGATTTAATTTAAGCCAGAGAAGAAGAGAGATAGATTTGAGAAAGAAGAAAAAATAGGAGTGAAGAGTTGTGCTACAAAGGCAAGAGTGACTGAGATAAGATGAGCTTGAAGTGGAGTATGCTGGCCAACAAACCCTAAAAATCACCTACAAAACATTTATTTTATTGAACTTATTATAGGGGTCAAAACAGATGAACAAGGGGATTACATTGAGTTGTTGGGCTCATGGGCACTCAATGGCCTCACTATACTTTCGTTACTGACAATACGTGATTAGTTAGGATTCTATCATAACAATATTCATGTTGCATAGATGATCTTATCAACCTTATTTTTAACATCGTAGCCTTCTTTTTCTATTAGTTGGGTGCACATTAGGAGAGATTCTCTTATACAACTAAAATTTAGCTTTATTAACGCAAATGTCCTATCTTGTTTAGAAAATGTTTTTTCGACAATTGACAAGTAATAAATTAAAATATAAAATAAAGAATCTCTCATACATCAAAGTAGGGCTGGGCATTTAAAAAAAAAAAAGCCGAGTGAACCGCCCGAACCGCCTTGGCGGTTTGGTTTTTTATTATTTATTTATTTATTATAATTTTCCATGGGTAAACCGAACCGCACCTACCTTAACCTGTTTGGAAAATCTATTCTCAAAATTCTTAGGGTGCAGTTAATCGAACCGACCGCATATATTTAATTTTTTTAATCATAATTAATACGTGTAGTCATATAAATGGTTAGTTATTTACGAGTTACCGTGTTTCTACCACATGAAAACAAAACCTGATTAGTTTAAGAGTCCATTTGAAGAAGAACAGGGGGACCATTTAGAGAAGGCAGCAACTGCTGCTTTGGTGATCTCCTTGGGTTGCTTCATTTGTGCTTTCTTTTGAGCAATCACTCGTATTAGTGCTATGTTTTGTAGCATTTGTGAGAGTTTGTTATGTATTTCTTCTTCACACAAACCGATAACCGACCCAACCCAACCTGATTGGTTTTAGACCCAGCTTAATCGATTTCGATTTGTAATTTTGGTTTATCCGACTAAGTTAGTGTGATTTCAATTTTGACTTAAAACCGACCTAAACCAACCCACGTTCACCCCTACACTGAAGTAATGGACAATGGGGGGTGATTATTATGTTGTGCTTTTTGTACCAAGCTACTAACTTATTAGTCAGCAGGCCTCCACTTATAGCCGATCGATCAATTCTATATGCCTCTTGAACAGCCATGCACGCCGGCATCCCCTTTTCACTTTTTGCTGGCCATGTCTGCTTGTCTCTGCCTTTTCTTCTTCTTCTTCTTCTTAATTTATTGACTTTAATTAATCAATTTTTTTAATTACTTTTGCTTATTGAATAATTATTCCTCGTCAACATATGCCATTATTTGTAGCGTGTCCTTAAAGAAACAAAGCCGCCATTATATTTGACCTTTAAAATTCATGATCACAACAATTTTATATGTATTAGAAACCCGTTCAAAATGACAGCTTTCCAGTTCAATTCATAAAGTTCAAGCGCTTTTAAACTGTCGGGGACCAAATACATTGTGTGTTCTTTGCGCAATATTTGCACATGTAACCCGCCCTCTTATGACACGTTTACGTAACCGGAATGGAGTGAGTGGAAACGGAATTGCATTCCTTCTGAAGGATTCATGTGTTTACTTGTATTTGGGGAATCAAAATAAAGGTGGGGTCCATCCAAAATGGGGAATTCAATTCCGGATATACCCGGAATCCGATTACTACGAAATAGGTGGTAATTGAATTCCGGCAAAAAGGGACCATCAGCAATCAAATTTTTCTTCCCAAACTACCCTTGTACTTCCTTTGACATCCCAAACACCTCTGCATCTTCGTTCCTAACGCTGCATCTCACCGTTACACTCTACCATTTGGAACGAGATGAAGAAGCTGAACAATAAGTGGACCTGCAACAGAGAAAAAGGGGGAAATTTTAGAATGGAGTGGGCAGGCAGTAGGTAGGCAGCAAAGAAAGATGGGATAAATATCATAAATTTTAGAAAGGGGGTGGGTCGGGAGAAAGATGGGGAAGAGAGGGAGATGCATTCAATTACTCAAACACTAACAAATTTCAAAATTTATAGAACAAAAGCAAAAGATTGAACCTTTAGATAGAGAACGCCGCCACCCAAATCGGGTTTGCCCCGATCGTCTTCGGTGAACTCGAGCCGGGCCTGGTTACCGGAAAAGCAAATCCCTTCCCATTGAATCGAGCTGTTATCCGGAGTCACCGACCCAATAAAAGAAGGCAACAAATCCACATCACTATGGAAATTGTTGAGCACCGGCCACGACAAAAAAAAGAAAAGGAAAATAAAGACATTTTACTAAAAAATAAAAAAGAAATTTGTTCTCTCTACTAAAAATAAAAAATGATGAGCTTTGGCCTTTTTTCATAAAAATAAAAAATAAAAGATTAAAAGTTTTATTAAAAATAATTAGCATATAAAATAGATTAGTTCAACTAGGGGTATTTTAGTAATCATATTAGTTTTCATTCCGATTCATAAGAATTAGTAAACAGTTTAATGTATTTCTTACTCCGATTCCAAACAGTTTTAGTAAACAACTCTAACAGGAATCTGATTCTGGTTCCACCTCATTCCAATTCCTCATCAATCCAATTCCTCCTCAATTCAATTCCTCTTAATTTGATTACGGATTAGTAAACGCGCCATTAGATTAGACTCGAGAGAATAAATTTACATGCGACGTGTCACACGAAGAGAGATAAATAAAAAGAGACATACATCTAGTTTTAAGTAACATTGTAGTTCGATGTTCGTGGTAGTTAAAATTTGGTATCAGTGGAAATATCGATAAGCAAATTTGTGGAAATATTGATGGATATAATAATATCGATATTTGTTACTTTCGATGAAATTTTAAAATGAAACTTTAGTGAATGTCAAACATTGATTTAGACGAAATATAAGAATTTTTCTGATATTTAACCAATATGTCGAAAAATCGCCGAAATTTGTTGATTTTAACTGAATTCTAAGAGTTTCTCCCATAGGATGAAGTCTAAACTTCACCTGCCCCTTCTGTATCTTTATTTGATTTTCCGTCAATTTCACGGAATATTGACCACATCAAAAAAGTCAAATATTGGTGCCCGTTAGACTAGGGCGGGCCCTGAGATTTCAAGGGTCCTATGCGAAAGTTAATTGAAGGTCCTAAAAAGTACTTAAGAATTTTATTTTTTTGTTCAAAAAAATAATTTTAGTTTTCATTTGAGTTTCTTTAAATTCTAATAGCACAAACAAATTTAATAAATCAACAAGTAGAAAGGTGGCATATTGTTTTTCCTTAACTATTTAGAGGGTCAAGGTTCGAATTTTCATGTTATTATGTGGAATTTTTATATTATTTTGTGGAAGCTTATGCATTATTCTACACATACTGCTATATATACGTATATACATGCAAATTTGAAAAATCAGGGGCCCTTCCAATTTGGAGACCTTATGCGGTAGCACCACTTGCACCCACTCAAAATCGGCCCTGCGTAAGACGATAGTCAATACACAAAATATAATTGTTCGTGTTAGCTAGTATCAATATAATTAGTTTATAATAATCTATCCAACAAGTGGCAAACATCACATGTATGAATTCGGATATCCGGTTGCATGCTCGGACATTTTTCAAATCTCAACCGCGAAGGTTTTGTTTTGTTTTTTATTTAGTTTTATGTTTAAATGGAAATAAAGTAGTTTTATCATGATAAATAATATATTGCTTCGTATTTTCCACGTAAGAGATAAGGAAACTCCCAACTAGAGAAACAGAAGGAAAAGTTGGAGAATTGGGTGGATTCTGGAGGGTCGTAGCTGTTTCCCAGCCACAACTGTTGGCGGTAAGTAGGCTGCAAGCCTGTCACTTATGTGACTTCTCCGTGATTTCTAACTTTTTTTCAGTTTTAGTGTTTCCTCTCTTTCAAAGTTGTCGGAAGTAATTTTCGCACTCTGTTTATTTTTGTTTGAAGTGAAGGTGAATAAGATGCTAAAAATTTGCGAAGGAATAGAAAATGAAAAAACGAAATTGTGAAAATTACTAATAAGTAAATTACTGCCAATTAGGCCTTAGTTCACAGAGTGTTATGATCTTTTCAATACTTGAACGAGTCTCAAGTTCGAATTCCACTCTCAAATTATTAATGTATCATTAATAATTTGTGACACCTCATAAAACAAAAATATGTGCCAATTACTCTAATTTAGAGAGAAGTTAAAAAAATTGTATCATGACACACCGTTCAACTTACAATTTTTAATTTTTTGTGTTATGGTAAAATTAGGTGGGATTAGTGCGCGCTCAGAATTATAATTCAATTATAAGTGTAAAAATAAAAGACACAATAATAAACTCCATATTTCAACCACTACGGGCTGACTAAGTGGATAATGACAAATTTTAGGCAAATATTTCACACGACACGTTCTAAGTTTGATTTGTGGCCATGCTATATCGTACGATGATGGCAAAGGGGAGGCTGAATTCCTCAATGAGTCTTTTAGCCTTCGAAAGAGTGAACTACTGTGACTAAGCTACTGACTAGTTTCCTTTTTAAAAGAAAAAAAATGAAACGTATTTTAATTTTGGTAACTTTATATATCATGTCATGTCAATATGTCACACGATTTTACGGTCACAAGCTAAATTTTCGGTTTGAGAAAGTTGATATCAACTTCCTTGTGGATTGAAGAGCAAAGACTAGTCCACGCCCATGAAGAAGAAAAAGGACAACATTTTCTTTTCTTTTGTTAAAAAACCCATAAACTCAGGCGAGACTATTTTTTAAGGAATTCATAGTCTTTTATTTATTTATTTATTTTGGTAAAAAGAATTCATTGTCTTTTATTTATTTATTTATTTTGGTAAAAGGAATTCATAGTCTTTGATTATTGCTAGTTTTCGGTTTTTTTTCGTCGTAAAAAACAAGAGAAAAACGCGGTTTATTCAATTAAATCGCATTTATTGTAATTTCCAAAGCAAAAACTCGTTTATTCAATTTTCCTTGTCTAAATTATCAACCGAACAAAATGTGGGCCCAATCCTATGCATGAATAGAATAATAGTTAAATAAGTTTGGTAGCAAAGATTTTTCGGGAGTTTGAATTTTAATTTCGATTTCGGTTTTTCTGGAAATATAAAAGGAGGAAAAATACAAAGGAAGTTAGTGACGGAGGGCGAAGAAGTTGACTGGCGGAGGAGGTGGTTGAGCTTTTTGGAGTCTTTTGGGATGGGCAACTGCTTTTCTAACGACTCCGGCGGCATGTCGGCGGTGGGCGGCACCGCCGCCTCTCATGCCAATCCCTACGACGCACCGAACGACGCCGTCGATCTCTTCCTCAGGTCTCGCGGCTACAACGGTCTCTTCTCTCAGATCGAGGTTACTTCGCTCTCTATCTGCTTCTCTTGAATCTTTTGAGCCAAATTTGTAGCTGTTAAGTAATTAGCAATTAGTAGCAAGTAATTAGAAATTAGGAGGTGGCAGTTTGGATTTTGGATTTTTGAGTTGTGTTAAATCTGATGGACACTGTTGTTATACACGCCACTGTAGTCAAGAACAGTAAGAAAGAGCTTGAATTAGTGAGAATTTGCAAAATTGGTGCTCAAGAATTGGATGTTCATGAAAAATCTGGATTGGTCACTTGGATTCACAATCGAAATCATTTGAATGTAATGTTCGTTTAATGAATTCTACTGCAGCCGAAGCTAGGTTTTACGATTTTTATTGAGTTTTGTGGCTTGTTTTTTGTTAAGTAATGAATTTGCTCCCAATTTGAGGTCTCTCAGTGTTTGCATCTGATATACTGAATTTTCTCGTCAACAATTCGAATGCAGATATCACTTGCTGCTGTAGACTTGCGCGATCGGGACGTTCTCTCCAAGGTTTGTCGCTCTAATGAATATGAGTAGCCATTACTTGCATTTCTACTGTTAAATTCATAGACTTGTATGGTCCTGCCCCATACTCTTATTCCGATTTTCTCTTGTTTTACAACATGCGTTATGCTTAAATGAACTTCTATTTTTGCTATTTACTTAATCATATTGTTATTCAAAACCTGAATTCTTCTTTTGACTGGTGCTGTAGCTACTTTCAGCATTAAGTTAAAGCACAGTTTTCTTGTATTGCATGATGGTAATGGTGGTACTTTTTGAATGTCATGCTCCTCGTAGCTAGATATTTCTTTATCTATATTTTGCTCTCATGCTATATATTTTAGTTGTGTAAATCTTTCCTTTGTTTCAGGAATGTCAGTCTGTTATTCATGAATTTTATTTTCTATAGAGTGATCCGATGGTGGTTATCTATACAAAAGGAAGAGATGGAGGACTTTCCGAGCTTGGGCGCACTGAAGTAGTTATAAACTCATTAAATCCAAAATGGATCACAAAACAAAATATCACTTATCATTTTGAGGTTGTGCAGACTCTCGTGTAAGTTTAAGCTTTTATCTCCGCTTTAATTAAAAAAACAAGTTTTTGGTCCCACAATTATGTGCAATGATTTAATGGTGGCTGACTTTATCTCCATAACAGGTTTCGTGTGTATGACGTTGACACTCAGTTTCATAATTCGGAAGTGAAGGTACAAAATTTACGATGTTGTGCCTATATGTAAAGTTATTCCTTTTCTTAAGCTACTTGACTATCCATTTATCCTCTTAAAACTCTCTATGCAAGAGGCAAGAAAATATGGTTATTTTCTCATTCCACTAAAAGCCAGGTCATAGAATTTGTTTGCTGCTCATATTTCTGGATCCACATTGTTTTGGTTTGCTCATATTTCTAGGTGGACACATTGGTAGGGGTAGCTTCATAGTATATGTTTTAATACAAAGATTTGCTGCATCGCACTCTCGTTCAAGTGCTTGCAAGCATAACTGGTTCATAATGGATGGTGTTACTTGTGCAGATGCTTAAGCTAGAGGAGCAACAATTTCTTGGCGAGGCAACCTGCGTATTGTCTGAGGTGCGACTTAGCGACCATTCTCTGTGGAATCGTTGAACTACTGAATCTCTATGATATTCTATCTGAACTTGTCAAAGTTGACCAATATGTGCAAAACCTGCTTGAACCCAACCAACTCCTAGCTACCAAGTGGGTGGTTTTGTGGTCTGTGAAAAAGGGCAAGCCTAAACATGAACCATAAGGTTAAAGGTTGAATCCAGGTTGACCCATTGGAATTAACAAGTCAAAGACAAAAGTCAAAGATAAGAGTCTGCTAGTTTTGGCTTGCTTGACCTAATCCTCACCTCTCAGACATGTCACACACAACACCAGATATACATACACACATACATTTGATGAAGAATTAATATCTCTAATCTGAGAAGTAATTTAGTTCACCTTTCTAGTGTATCTGGTTACCAAGATACACTAGTGGAATTATTTATTGAAGGACTACCTTAAGCTCTGGCATCTGATTCTTTTTCCTGTTATTTCGCCTTTCTACTTGTGCAGATAATTTCTAAATCAGACAGGTTATTAACCCTCAATCTTGAATATAGAGAAGAGTTGGGCAGACCAAATCCTCATCGAGACTGTGGAAAACTCATTGTGCATGCTGAGGAATCTTTTAGCTCAAAGACAGCGATAGAGATGAGTTTAAGGTGTTCAGATTTGGAATACAAGGATCTCTTCTCAAAAAGTGTAGGGGCTTCTGAGTTATTATTCTTTCCCTTTGGTTATCTACTTTGATGAGCATTACTAGTTATGCATGCTTGGCCAAATGGAAAACGGTTTGTGTTTTGACACGTTCATATTTGTCTTTCAGGACCCCTTTTTGGTAATATCAAAAGTTGCAGAGAGTGGGATCACAATTCCAATTTGCAAAACAGAAGTTATAAAAAACGATCTCAAACCCTCGTGGAAACCAGTATATTTAAATATTCAACAAGTTGGAAGCAAGGTATTAACAAGTTTCTTTTTAGCTGCTAGAATATGTGTGAATTAGTGGAGGTCAAGTTTGCTAGAATCTGCTTTATTTCTTTAGCAACTTGTCCATTTGGCTGCTGTCACTAAACAATTTTGCTGACATTAATAACCATGTAGTGAAACATGCAGATTTGGTTGTTAAAGATTTATGTGGACCTTTGCGGATGAGAAGCAATGCTTCTTCATCTGTTTCTTGATAGCTTGAGATATTGTACTTCCCCTATTGTTTGTAATAGTTTTCTCATTTTAATATTTTTCGTTAATCTGCAGGACAGCCCATTGATAATGGAGTGTTTTAATTTCAATAACAATGGCAAGCATGACTTGATTGGGTAAATAGATATCTATTTCTTCCATCTAGTTGCCTAATTCCTATGGAGTGGATGAGCACTGGTTTTTGCTGGCTTTGTTTTCCTTTTCTCCTCCTTACAGTACTATACTTCTGTTGAATATACAGAAAAGTTCAGAAATCACTGGCAGACTTGGAAAAGCTTCATGATAGCAGACAAGGAGAGCATTTATTTTTACCAACTGCTGTTGGGCATGATTTCCACAACAAGGTAATGTTATAGTATGGCAGTATATTATTAAGTGGATTTCCATCCCAATTTCTCTTAATTTATAAGTTCTCTGATTTCATTGCAGGTACTGAAGAGCCAACTATATGTGGACAAGTTTACCGAGACCGTCCAGCACACCTTCCTTGATTACTTGGCTGGGGGCTGTGAGTTGAACTTCATGGTTGCTGTTGATTTTACAGGTGCTTACCTAACATTACTGTACATCATAATTCCTTTGCTGCAAATGCATATATCATGATAGAAGTGATTGTCAGTAGAAGTTGAGCCTTGCAAATCTGCAAGTGCAGTTGCGTGGCTCCAGTTGTCTGCTATAGAAAAGTGTTGCGGCACCATACTTGTGCTGTGATCATTGTTATTTTAGCTTATTGCTTTAAACTTCTTACTGTGCCCTCTTATAAATGCAAACTTGTTTGCTGTGGCTCCTTTAACACATTAAATTGTCTTATCAAATTCACTCATTTTCCTTGTTTATCAGCTTCAAATGGAAATCCTCGCCTGCCTGATTCTTTGCATTATATAGATCCTACAGGACGCCCAAATGCATACCAGAGAGTGAGAATTAGGTCCCTTGAGTTTGATCTTTGCAATTATTCCTTTCTTTGGATCCATATGATTGTGACGTTGTTTTCCAGGCAATCATCGACGTTGTGGAGGTTTTGCAGTTCTATGATACAGACAAGCGCTTTCCTGCCTGGGGATTTGGAGCCAGACCAATTGACGGTCCAGTTTCCCATTGTTTCAACTTGAACGGGAGTAGTCATCACTGTGAGGTGGAATACTTTATGACCAGAACTTACTTCTGTTAAACTTTGTAGCTGGTTTCTCTATCATAAGGATTATGTGAATCTATTTCTTTCAGGTTGAAGGAATCCAAGGAATTATGATGGCATATGCAAGTGCCCTCCAAAATGTTTCTCTTGCAGGACCAACTCTTTTTGGACCCGTAATTACCAATGCTGCATTTAATGCCAGCCAGTCTCTTGCAAATGGTGGACGAAAATACTTTGTTTTGTTAATAATCACGGTAAGCATAATGGGGTTGAATGTGCAGTCCAATGCATCTCTGAAGTTCTTTTAGTACTTGCACGCAATATCTCTCAAGTTGTTTTAGTGTACTCCAACTTTTTCCAGTTTCTTTAGTTTCGTTCCTAACTTTGTTCTAAAATTTTACGGCCGTAGGATGGAGTGGTGACAGATCTCCAAGAAACCAAAGATGCCCTTGTGAAAGCTTCTGACCTGCCATTGTCAATCCTAATTGTTGGAGTCGGAGGAGCTGACTTCAAAGAAATGGAGGTATTTCATTCCCTTTTGTTTTTAATGCTGGATATCGTTCTTGGAACAGTCATATTTTTTTTAAAAGCCCGAATGCTGTGAAACTAAATGTCTCCGCTTTTTCGTTTTGAAGATTTTGGATGCTGACAAGGGCGAGAGACTTGAAAGTTCTACTGGACGTGTGGCTTCACGTGATATAGTACAGTTTGTTCCATTCCGAGATGTACAAAGTAAGCCTTTACATATGCTTTTACCATATCTGCTTACCAACTTTAATTAGTAGGCAGTAACTCCCCCTTTCACCACCAGGTGGAGAAATTTCTGTTGTTCAGGCACTCTTAGCAGAACTACCGGCTCAATTTCTGACTTACATGCGATCGAGAGATGTCAAACCAATTTTATGATCATGTAAAGAACTGTACATATGAAGATTGATATTCTCTTCTTGATCCTTGTGCAATACGAGCCTGAATGTTTTTTGTTTTCCTTCCTCACTTGTTGGCTGCACGGAAATCCTAATGCAATTGTATTGAAGAACAATTTTATGTTGCATTATCACATTCGAGACTTGGGATGACCGCAGCTGCACAGGCCTCGCTGCCTTTGTGAGACTGCCAACTTAAGTTCCTGCAGCTCTCTTTACCAGGCTAGCGTCCTACAATCGGATGCGCTAAGCGTGGAGAAGGCAACGGGTTATCCTTCGAAACCAACCATTGGGAGAAAGGTGCGAAGAACCGTTTCAGAATAGTCATACAAGTATTTTCATCTTTTGGAAGTGGTTAATCTTTTGCTTTTCTTTCCTTCTTTCTTTCTTGTTCCCCCCTGATTTTTCGTTTCGGAATTTTGTTTGCTCTGTTGCAAAATTATATTGCTTTATGAAGAACTTAAACATGAATGATGAATAAAAGTACAAGATGTAAGGCTCGTTTTGAAGTGTATTTAGAATGATTGAAAGCACTTGTAGAGAAAATGTTTTTGGAACCAATCTTTAGTAACAATGCAAGTGAATATTGGAAAAGTACTTGAAGTGCATCTTGGAATAAGCACATACAGAAGCACTTGAAGTATTTTTGGAATTCAAAAGCATTTCTCTGAAAGTGTTTTTAGTCATTTTAAAATTATTTTCAAACGAGTGAATGCACATCGGGTTCGCTCTTGGATATGATTGTTTTGAAACAAATGGAACCCTTTCAAGTTTTTTCTCCGGGAAAAGTCCACGGATGGGCCATGGATTCTTGGGCCTGTTTACATAAAAGAATTATTTGTCTTCTTTTTTTTTCTTTCCATTTCCTGTGAATACTTGCATTGGTCTTTAATTTGCGGGCTCTTCACTCGGGACAAATTTATGTCCAAAAAGTGGCATTTAACGCCTGTTTGAGATTTTGCTTTTGACATGATTAAAACGTTTCTACTACGTCTCATAGAAAACTGTGTGTTTTGGGTCATAAAAGTGCGTTTAGTAAAAGCATTTCTGAAGCGGCCTGTTAAGATGCATTTGCAAGTGCTAGCACCTAGATGTTCGCTAAAATTAAACGTGTTCTAATACAAGCGCTTTCTAACAAAAGCAGTATCAAACGAGCTCTTAATCAAGTTAAACCCACCCACCTCTCACTTATCCACTTCAGTACTAAAGACTTGAGTGCAACAGTTAGTTCGGCACATAATATAATCAAGGTTGGTAATTAAAGATGCTACAAAGTACACTTGGTGCTTAGCTAGGCTGCGTGATGCATGCTAAGGCAACTGCCGCAGTTCAATTTAATTAACTACATTCCACGATACCAAATTATAAATATATAAGTATAATTGGGGCTGGGCACAAAAATTGTCAAACCGAAAAACTGGACCGAACTAAAGCTATAAAAAATGTAAAAAAATCAAGTTGATTATAAAATTAAAAAAACTGAACCGAAATAAAAAAGGACCGGTTGAATCCACTTTGGTTCACGATTTCATGACGCTAAAACCGGTACAGAATCAAAATGTATGTAAATCTCACAATACAATTATTTAGTAGTTGATTTCACATCAATTTTAGTTTTTCCGTATTTTCCAACATCTCGGATTTATGATTTGTCCTATTTCAAATACGAAAACATACTATAATATTGTGCGTGAAAATGCATGCTATACAAGCTAATATTTTATTAAAAACAAAGATAAAACTCGTATATATCGGTTGGTCTTACATCTATTAAAAGATAATATAACTATGCGATTAATGTAGCATCAACCGTATTTTACCATTCATGCATGATGCATGATTTGACATATGCGAATTCTACCCCATTTTTCTTCTTTGGGTAAGCACATGAATCCAATAATTTCCCTTTCTGATGGCTCCACCATGACATCCATGAACTATTAACATCGAGTATTTGTTACAACTCAGTACTATCGTATGGTGATATTTTTCTTCAATTGGAAGTGAGGTTTTAGGTTCAAATCTCGTGGATGGCGAATTCGATATCAAATTAGGTTGTCATTGTGTGACTTTGCCGAACTTCTCCTCCTCTTAATGTAAAAATGTCGATGTATTAAGAAAAAACATCGAGTATTTGTCAAAGAAAAATAAAATTAACAATTTAATTTATTAATTTAGAAAAATAATGACAAATTTAAAAATGGAAAAGTAATGAGATAAACATCCGCAGTCATTGGTGTCAAAAGTAAACGCGTCTAGTTCAAAAAGGAATATGGACTAGAAGGCGTTAAAGTTGGACCATTTGCTTTTCAGTGCAGCTCCCAAAATTTTACACCAACTAGGGGAGGAGATAGGCTGCGAAAGATATATATTATATATGACTGTATCAAACCCTAGCATTTCTCCATCTTCTCTTCTTCCTCCTCCTCCTCCTCCTTGCTATTGTCCTCCCTTAGTGTCTACCTCTCTTGATACTGTACAGTAATTTCATTTAACGGAAACGAGGATCCGAACTTGGATGCAGAAGAGGAAGCAAACTGCTCAGACTGATGATCTTGATTCATATTTATCTAGTGAAACAAAATAAGATAGTTAATTAATTGCTAGCCAGTAAGAACAATATTTGTGGTGCATGTTTGCTTGATGATTTGGCACAAGAATTTATATCTTTTGCAAATTTTCAAAGGGTTTTAACAAGGTCAAAAAGTGGATCGAAAGCATGGGAAGAGGTCCTTTCCTGGTGATGAATCAGAGAAGAAAGAGGAGGATCATCAAATGATCTTCGATCCGTTTTGCTCATCTGCTCGATCTCAACATGAGATGTCTGCCATGGTCTCAGCTCTAGCTCAAGTTCTTGGAAGCAATAACAGCCAGACCCCGGCTGTTCAAGAGCCGGTGGAGCCGCCACTGATCACGCCCCAGTCCAGCGCCATGGAATTGCATGATGGTCAATCTCCTCAACAGGCTCAAGATCAAGGTTTAATATTGATCAGTCGTACTATTGACCATGAGTATTTATTAATTTCCAATTTTTAATTGATTTAGTTCTGCTGTGTAGAATTAAATATTCATATGACATCGATCCAGTTTCAGTTTATACGCTGTGACAGTTTTTTACCTGTAAAAGTAAGCATGAACATGAAGTTGTGTAGTGATTTTATTCTCAACAGGTGCCCTATTGAAATCCTCTATATTGTTCCGTTTCCATCTTCATATTGTTGATGCATGTTTTTAATTAGGTTGATATTTTTATCTGCAAAAGCAGCACGGATGCCGTAATAACAGTTTAAATCGGGGGTTGGGTTTCTACCATGTATTCCAGGTTCAAAACTCATCATTCCCTAAATTATTGAAATAGTTTCGAACTCTCTCCCCTCTCCTAATACTAGTAAAATTAAAAAAAAAAAAAAAAAATGAAGTTTGCCCTCTGTATTTTGGCTCTAATGTTTTTAATGCATGTCTGCTGTAGCTCATTTGTGTAGATTGTATTTATTGTTACATTCTTTTTCTCATCGTAATAACAACTACTTTGCTACTTTGTTTCATAGCTACAATTGTTTTCTATGTAGCTATTCAACCAAATAAAGATGATTAGAAAGTGCATATATTTGATATACAATTAACAATACATATCAATATGCAAATTAATATATATATATATATGTATATGTATATGTTACCCCTTATATAAGGACCCATTTTTTAATCACCATCCCCGTAGTTAGATGAATTGAGCGCTGAATATCATATCAATATATCATTTATTGTGTTTCAATATACATAAGATACTGTTTAGATCAACTTGGGAAACTACATAACATTATTAATTTGCGAAGGGAATGTGAGGAGAAGGCACTATAGAGGAGTGAGGCAGCGACCATGGGGAAAGTGGGCAGCTGAGATTCGTGACCCCAAGAAGGCAGCTCGAGTGTGGCTCGGCACCTTTGAAACCGCAGAGGCCGCAGCGATTTCTTATGATGAAGCAGCTCTCAGGTTTAAAGGAAGCAAAGCTAAGCTCAACTTTCCCGAAAGAGTTCAGGGAAGAATTACTGAATTAGGTTACCTCACTACAACTAGTACTCAACAAAACTTGCCAGCTGAGGCTCAAAGTATTACGGACCACCACCAGCCTCTTCCTGATCATCAATATCAACTGCAGGCATTCCCTAATAATGTTGCTACTCCTCATGATCAATATGCACCATATTTTCTGAGTGGTAACGAGGGTGTAAATTATGATGATTTACCAACTAATCTTAGTGAAAGAGAAAGATTTGCTTTCCAGACTTCAGAAACTACTTCATCATCTTTGTTACCTTTCTTACCATCTCATCAACAAGAAGATCAACAACATCCCTTAAACTATTCTATGCCGGCATTCGGTTCTTCTTCTTCTTCGAGTTCAAATCCTCCCCCTAGGAATAGGAACCGTCGACCTTGACAGCAGTACTTCAAGAGGACGGTACGTACACATCCAAGTTCAATTTCCCGAGAGATAGATCGTGGGAGAATAATGATACTATTTCCTTCATGTTTGTGATGTATTTTTGTTTCTTGAATTAGACTCTCTCTTGTCGACAAAGTTTTAAGAAGGTGATCAAACTGTTTTGTTAATTGATGATTGTTTTTAGTTTGTTTGACGAGATTTTCAGCAGCTTACATATGTCAAATAATAGTCTAATGAAAATGAATTACTTTTGGAGACTGATACACACACACACACACATATATATATCTGGGAAGTGTTATTGACACTCAAAAAATCTCATTCTACACTTTTCACAAATGTATTTTTCTTTCTAAATAGAGAAAGTTTGGAGTGCAAAATGAGAATTTTGGAGCGCGAATAACAATTATATATATACACCCATATATATATGATGATGAGATTGCAGTTGAAGGCATGAATTAATTTACAGCACATACTTGTAAATCTGAATTTAGCCAAATTGGTATAGTGTCGACTAATTAATGATCATCGAATTCGGCTATGTGTGACACATTGTGAGTCAGCCTAAATATATTTGATCTCATATCATATTATTTCTCACAGTCAATTGCCTCCGCCGGCCTTTATATGTGACACGTTCCAAATGCATGCTAATTATATTTCTAGAGGTCCTTGAGTAGGATTATGTTTAGGGTTTATGAAAATTAATTTATGAACTATGAACCTCTTTTCTTTGTCATGGCTCATTACTCTCTTTTATTTTTGGGTAAAAATATCAGGGACAATTTCATTGATAAACGTGGGTCAAATTACAATATTCGGACTGATCAAATAACATCAAACAACAAAGCACCAAAGTACACAGAATAATTGGTCGACAATGCAAATATTTGAAAAGAAATTTCATTGACTAACTAGAAAGAACACAAAAAGATATGTCATAGACATGAATTACCGGTGCCATAAAGAGACCAAAATAGCAGAAACCAGAGCCACGGCCAAATTTGACCATAAGATGCCATGCATGTACGAGGAAGGGACTGAAGGATTATTTTGTGAAAACATGTTCATTTAAGCAACATCAATAAGCATGCAATTAACAATTAAAGGCGGAATCATGCTTGCATGCACTTAAAAACAAAACATTAACCATGAAATTCAAAGCCTAGTAGATTGGTGAACCAAAACTCAACTCAAAACAAAGTGAGTTGAAATTGTACCTTTGTAGATTCCTCTTTGCATAAGCAAAGGCTAATCACCCAAAGAGAGGGCCTTCATTCCTTGCATCTAAAATCTATGGATTTGGATGGAAGAATAGGTTTCTCCAAGTTCCTAAATTTGAGAACCTCTAAGTCTCTTCACCAAGGAGAGATTGGAGAAGAAATGAGTGACCTTGGAGTAGTGGGATTGCAAGATGCACCCCCCAAGGTGGCCGGCCTCTTTAGAGAGAAATGGAGAGACAAGTTCTCACCAATTTTCTCCAAAACAAACCCTTAATGAATTTTGGCTATAAAGTCATATTTATACCTTTATTCATTTGAGTGGCAAACTTGTAAATAAGTCCAAGTTCACTACCCTAAACAATATGGCCGGCCATTAGGATATTTTGGACTAATTGGGCCTTTGTGAATCATTATTCATTAAGTTGTCATACAACTTAAGTTAATGGGCTTGACGTTCGAAGCCCATTGGGCCTTAAGGTCCAAAACTATCCCGAGGGCTTTAACGAACTTATTCGTTTGATTAATTAACATATTAATTAATCCTTGCCATAAATAAATGATTAAACCATTTAATCATTCTTACTCATCTCCATTGTTTCTTCAATCTCCTCCTTACACGGTGTGCGATCCATTAGGTTCCTTTTAGCGAGGCAGTGGGCGATTAAAACCATTTTACATCGATTGTGAATTGAAACTTACTTTCAATTCTCCCTTTAGTGATTACACACGTTTAGGGCTTCCACAAACCATGAGTGACACCTTGCAGCATATCATGGTTACCCAAGCTAATCAGAAGAGGTAGAGAAAACCTATTCAGTCTGGGATTACAAATGCAATACGGTCTTTCTCTAATCTAATACTCCTGACCACATTGTTTGGTTTGATAGTTTATTTATTCATGTCTACTATCCAATGTGATTCGTGTGCGTATATGATTTCCTTGAATGTGATTCGGAACGCATTCCCAAATCTCATTCATACTCTGGCCAGAGATTCTAAATCATATCATAGAGTATTCTCCCTCAAACGGTTTGAAGGTTAGAGATCCCTTGTTGCGCATTCACTTGCCTCCATGACTAAGTGGCTTAACCCCAACGATGCCGTGGACACCCCGAGGGGGAGACTTTGACATAATCAAAGATCAAGTACTTAACCACAAGACAAATGTGATACCTCATGTCAAAGGACTAATTTGCATTATCCCAACCATGAGTTCTCATGTGACATGAGTATGAGAACTCTTCGTTGATCGCGTTCAGTGAACTCATTCTCTACTGAGCACCTACGTACTTGTCTTGATGTCACACACACCAATGACTCGAGACTAGTCACTCTCCCTGAGAGAAGACATAGCACGTACCGATCTTGACGGACTAGCAATGCCCAATTGGCAATCCTATGATCAGGAACATTTAGGATGTGTCTACGAAAGAATGGTCTCATGAATCTAACTTCATTAGATTACATTCTCCCAATCACATATTCCTTGGACTTTATCGTTTAAGCATATAACATTTATATGAGACGGCTCAAACAATAATCTTTGCCCTTTATAGTTAAACTAGATTAGTTTAACATGTGAAATGTCCGTAAAGTATCATCATATGATTGGCCTTAGGGCACATTTCCAACAGGGACATCCACTCATACATTCTCCAAGTCTCTTGATTCTTTTTACACTAATTTGTACACAAAAATGTAAACAATAAACTAAAAGTTGTTTTTGTTTAAAGAGGGAAGGAATTGATAAGGAAAAAGGACTGTTAATATTATGTGAACCGCACACGTTGCATGCAATTTAAATGTGGTAAGAAAGAAACCGTGGCCCCCCAAAAAGGGGTGGGTTTAAAAGTAAGGAACTCGAAGAGTATAGTGGAAAGTAACCTAACATATTTACCAATTAATTAAAGAGTCTCTCTCTCTTTTGTCAATGATCAACTCTAATAATTAATATGTATTTGTTTATAATTCCTTATGATATATCCCGAACCATAGAAGCCCCTTGTAAATCAAGTGGTAGGGGTTAAGTTGATTAGGCTTTCACCGTTCACCTAGAAGGAGTCAAAAACTTGATACCATCGTCCAGACCGCTACATATATCCACAAAAAAGAAGAACACCATGTTCGCTAACAATTAAATAGAGCATTCAAAGCAAATAACTATTTTTATATTTTTGGCTTCTCAATATCATATAGTTTATATAGGTTACATTTTTTTTTTCTGAACAGACGATATTATCTACACTAAGACCATCTCCAATGGTGGCTTATAACCTAAATTTTCCCCTTTTTCCCCCCCAAATCCACTCCAACCCAAAACCTAAACCAAACCTAAAACCTAAAACTTAAAATGAAGGTAAATATAGGTCACAAATTTAGCCCACAAAAGTTGTTGGGACCCACGGATGAGAGTGAAAAGTGGGCCTTGTCCTGTAGCCAACAGCTACTTTTCTTTATCGGGTGGTGGTGGTAATTGGACCGTTGGTTAATCCAACGGTCCACATTCAATTTTTTTTTGTTTTATATTTATATATTTATTGAATCCAACGGCTTAAATCGAATATAATCAAATCTAACGGTAAAAAAAAAAAAATCTAACGATCCAAATTTAAATCCAATGGCTAGAATGATCTTAAAATTTATCGGAATTTAAATATTTTTTTCCAACGGCTATAATAATTTTTTTTTAAGTTTATGTGGTTTATCATGATTTTCATGTATTGATTTAATGATTTTTCAAAATTTATCGGAATTTAAATATTTTTAGGTTAAAATGTTCATAAAATTAATTTAGGATAGTCTACATATTTTTTTAAAAAAAGTTAATTTAACAAAAAATTAGCCTTAATTCATTTTTTGATAATCTGGGGCTAAAATTTTAGGCCAAAAGGGTTGGAGTAGAAAAGCTATTTCTGGGCTAAAACCTAAATTTTCTGGGCTAAATATTTTTAGGTTTTAGGTCAGGATTGGAGATGGTCTAAGGGGGTGGGGAGTGGGTTAAGCCTCATAATGGGCTAGCAATAATGTAGTTCAAATTCACTTTTGGCGAGAATCGAACCCAAGATCTCTCACTTATATGTGAAGAGGAATACCACTAGACCGTAGTACTACGTTAACCGTCTGACTTGTTAATTAAAGAGTAATAATACATTTATCATAAGTTTTATACTATGTTTGTATTATTTTTCTAATTGAGATAAAATCCGTCAATACAAATACATTCCATGTTTACTAAAGAGATGAGACAAATATGATATAGAAAATATAGCAAGAGTGACATTTAGTGATTGAAAAAAAACAGTCAAATTATTTGTAATGTATCACACGTAACACAATTTAGATGTTTAATTTATATACTCAACAATATAAAAGGTATTCACCTTCAACATTTAAGAGGTAATTGTTTCAAAACTAAGAAACTCCAACTTTCAATTATGTTCATCCTCTAGCTTAAGTCGTTTTCTACTCGAGTCACACTGGTCACTCACTTATCTATTACTTCTTGGTTTCTACGTACAATCGTGATTTTACAACTAGGTAAATATTTTTCCTCGCAATATTATATATATGTATTAATAAAATGGTTAAACATGTGCAACAATAGTATCTATCTAGAAGTTATCTTGAGGTACACTTTTTCTAATGTTGAAAGATGTCACAAAGTCAAATATCATCTTCTACTATTTAATAAAAATGATATATGTAATAAAATCGCATAGAATTGAAGTGATATGCATTGCATCTCATATTTTATTGAAATTGATAAAATATGTTGACCACTTTCTTCTATTTTTTCCTTGATCAGTTTCTTCTTTCGGTGGTTACCTTCGAGCGAGTAGTTCATGCAGAAAAGTAGAAGTTGCAGTTAATTAGTATGGGTATTTTGATATGGGTCCAAAGTAACTAAAAATTAGACCTATTTCAAAAGTAGGCCTATAAAATTGGATCTATTTCAAAATTTCCCTAATTAGTACTACAGCT